TTTGATTGTGGATTGTGAAGAATGAAGCCAATCGACGAAGAAGATAATCTTTTTCTCAGCAGATATCAGTCATCAGAACTTAAGACTGCTTCGGAGTTTTTAACCAGTTGGTTTCGTTTTTTATCTAGAGATCTCTGCAAAGACTGTGTTCATGTTCTCTCCAATCGAATCCGTTCTCTAGACCCAGGTTTGGATTAGTTCTTATTCTTAAACGGGGTTTTTTTTTTTGTATTCATAATTCGAGTTGAAGAAACGGAGAATTCACTTTGCCATATGTTGAATCCGAATTCGATCATTAGAGTTGAGAAAATTGCACTCTGATTTTTGAGGATGATTAGGGAATTAACCTATCTTCTTGAGATTACTGTATTGAGATTTTGATATTTTATGTGTGAATTGTGTTTTCTTATGTACAGAAGAGCATTGTAGTGACATGACTGTTAATGGAGAGGATAAAGCCGGGTTCGATTCGATGATGGAAAACATGGAATCTGATGAAATCGGTAATAATAATAATATGGGCAATGATTATGATGAGAAGTTTTGTGATTTGAAAGCTGGGGATATTGTATTTGGATCTTTGACAAACACTATAAGAAATACAATATTAGAGCCTTCTCAATCAACTGTTATTTCTGAGACGGCGAGTCCTCGAACGTCTTGGGCTGATATGGCGGCAGAAGAAGACGGCCTCGAGGAGGAGGAAGAACATAAGGAGAGTGATGTGAGTCCTTTCAAGACTCCTGAGAAGCGTAAATTGTCTAGGGAGCAAAGAGAGCAATATCGGTTTATGAATGTGAAGAAAATGAAAGTGTTTACTTGTTTTGAGAGAGTTAAAGGGAACCAAGTTAATATACTTGAGGGACTTGAATTGCATACCGGTGTTTTTAGCGCGGTGGAGCAGAAAAGGATTGTTGATCATGTCTATGAACTGCAAGAGAAGGGTCGAAAAGGAGAACTTCAAGGTTAGTTTCTACTAGCATAGTTTAAATTTGGAAACTCTAATTTAACTTATTTAATTTCGGATTTTTGTATCTTTTCGATCTATATAGAACGTACTTTTACTGCTCCGCGTAAGTGGATGAGAGGCAAAGGACGAGTTACTATTCAATTCGGATGTTGCTATAACTATGCAACAGTAAGTGACACTTTCTGATTTTGTTATTACTACATTTGATCAATGCTAGAGAATGTGAAAAGAGTTTTGCTTTGTGTTTTGATAGGACAAAGCGGGAAATCCACCCGGAATCCTTCAACACGGAGCGGTTGATCCTATACCGCCTCTTTTTAAAGTAATAATCAGAAGGTTGGTTGGGTGGCATGTAATTCCTCCAACTTGTGTACCGGATAGTTGTATCGTCAATATATATGACGAAGGAGATTGCATACCTCCGCATATCGATAACCACGATTTCCTCCGCCCTTTCTGCACAATTTCATTTCTTAGTGAGTGCAATATACTCTTTGGATCAAATCTCAAAACCCTTGGACCTGGTGAATTTTCCGGTTCATACTCTATACCGCTTCCTGTCGGGTAATGCTCCTTCAGCCTTTTTTTTTTGCATATTCTCTCTGATTTTTCAGTACATCGTTTAACTTTGCGACAATTTTTCACCTTTTTCAGATCTGTTTTAGTGCTAAAGGGGAATGGAGCCGATGTCGCTAAGCATTGTGTACCTGCCGTTCCCACAAAGAGGTAACTTAAAGCCAAATGTAAACAGATTTGATGGATACATTCACATTTAAAATATTTTATACCAAAATGAAAATGTAATACCTTTTTTTAAAACGTGATTTCTCTTATCGGTTGTGATTTCTCGTATGTATTATTTTGTGTTGAAACAATTGAAACATAACTAATCGGTTGTTTACACTCTTCAACTCGCTCACACTGTTTTTGTTCCTTGGTTCTGCTTTCAGGATATCGATCACGTTTAGGAAGATGGACGAGTCGAAAAGACCAGTCGGATTCACCCCAGAACCCGCTTTACAAGGGATTAAGCCGTTGCCATACGAACAGACCGCACCGAGTACTCCTGATGTTGCAGCCATTAGCTCATCAAGATCCAGCAACGACCAAAATGGCAGTTATTACAAGAATCGAAGTGCACATAGAGAAGGAAGCAAACATCTTCATGAGTCTAGAAATTATCATCATTCAGAGAGTCGAGAATGGTCATCATCATCAAGCCAAAGAAGAGGAAACTCACGCTCTACACCAAACAGAGCTAGAGCCAAAGTTCATAATCATAATAATACCAACTCCGACCATGTTTGAGAATTTTGTTTTTCTATTTGTATTACGAAACTAATATTTAATTTTATCATTTATTAAGTTAGAGAAATTGAGCATAATAAACTCCGGTTGCTTTTCTCATTTTTCATTTTCTGATGAAGAGTTTTCAATTTTTTTAAAATTGTCGCAAAGTTATTCTGATTTCTATCATAATTTTAAAAAAATGAACCAGTGATCAAATCAGTGTTTTTAAAAAAAAAAATTAAATAGAAAACAAAGAGTAACTTCGGCAATTATTATCATACTAGATTTTGATCAACGCTAAACGTGCGATTAGATATTTAAATATATTTTTAATCGAATTTAATATTTAGACGTGTATTCAAACATTTATAAACACATAAAAATGATATGTATTGTGCATACATATAATAAAGCTAAATTTTGATTAAACATAAAGATATTTATCTTTGTTATTTTTCATTTCTTCTATCTATTAAAAATAATGATGATTGTTTTTGAATATTTTAATAACGTTTTTGACTCGAATAAAAAAAATCTAATATTATTGAAAAGAAAATAATATATTTTCAAATATTTAATATATTATTTAAATAAAATTTTCTATATTAATTATCACATATTCGTTATTTCCATATATTTGTTATTAAGAATTTTTAATAATTTTTATTAGGAAATGAATTCCTTAAAACCTTTACCTATAATTTTTACCTAGCGTGTCCTGTTAGTATATAGAGGATATTGTTTTTTTTTTTAAATTCAAATATTGTAAAACAGAAAGCTCAATCCTAATTTTTGGTTGGTTTGATTTGGAATTTTTGATTTTCTTCTATCATTAGATTTTTTGTTCAGGACTACCGAATTTGGTCAATATATTTTTGTCACAAAATTTGGTCAATATTACTTTATATTAAAAATTGGACCTTATATATATAACTCGCCTGCGTCATTTCATTGCACTGGTTCGCTTTGAAG